GACGATAAGGATAATTGACTTCAATGCAAAAGCATGCCCCATTTACTTCATATATATTTATTTCATTTTATTTTCTGTCCAATTTTTGTGTGTTACTTTCAATAAAAGTTATTTTACGTTACTGGATAGTATTTTTTTTTTTTTAATCATATTAAATTAAGTTCATATTAATTAAAAAGTCAAACTATATACATATAAATATTTATTGAAAAAAAAAACTGTCCTTTTTGGTTTTCAGCCAAGTACATCCTGAATGTTTGGTCCAGGATTTTCATTTCAGTGCACCACTACTCAGAATGTCACAGACTGAAGCAGCAGCGCTGGTTGGTGTGCCTGTGCCCTCCACTAGCAAAAAAATGCCAGAACTGTATGCAGAGTGGCTAAATGGCCAAAGTGCATGAGGCCATACTCACATGACATTTAGGGCTGTCCAATATCTGCTCTGCAATTGATGACTGCAATGCCCAGCACTGTAGTAATCCATGCTAAACTATAAAGGTGATTTAATGGTTTGCCACTGAATGAGTTAACCACTTCCTGACAGCCACCTCAGGCTACAGCTACACAGGAAATGTCTAGTACCATAAAACCCCATTCACAATTGAGCGATTTTCAGCTCAATGCTCAGAAATAATCAACAAGTATAATCCCGTTATTTCCAATGGCCCCTGTTTACACTGGAGCATTCTGTTGCCTGTAGCAAAACACCTGTCGCTCAAAAAAAGTACTTGTGCTACTTTGAAGACCAATCTGAGCTTTTTTTCCCCATAGACTTGAATAGAAAATGCCTCAACAGTGGAAATGAGCGTTTTGTTTGAGCGTTTTTTCAGCTTAAACTGGCTATTTCCATGACCACAGCAAAAACGCCTATATATTTGCAAATCTGCTAAAAAGAAAAAAAAAAAAAAAAACAACACTCAAAAATGCTCAGCTCAGTGTGAATGTAGCCTAAAGCCCTGTGAAGCTCTAACCGAATAAGGGGACTACCTGCAAGTGGTGAAATCTTTTCATTGCTAAAGATTAAAATTGTCTACACAACCTTAACTGTTGAGTTTTTAGAAGCTCAGATATCCAGACCAAGTTTAGCAGCCTTGGTACGTGTCAGTAAACTTCACAATAAACCAATGGCTCATTTTTCAGTTTGAAATCAAATAAGGGGAACTAGGAAAACATAATTAATGAACAATATCTAAAACATATTATGCACCAACATCCCAGAGCAATCATTTACAGAAGAATGGTACTACTATGGGCAGCACAGGCTAGATGGCTAGCATTTCTGCCTGGCAGTACTAGGATCGTTGGTTCAAAGGCCAACCACAGCAGCACCTTCCTGGAGTTTGATGTTCTCCCTGTGCCTGCATGGGTTTCCTACCACTCACTTCAAAGACACATGCTGGTAAATTTATTGGTTCATGTCTAACTTGGCCCTAGTATGTATGAATGTGAATTAGGGACCTTACATTGTTCGATCCTTGAGGGTTAGGGACTGATGTGAATATACAATATATATGTAAAGCGCTGTGTAAATTGACAGCACTATACAAGTACCTGTAATAATAATATGTATAGTTAAACAAACCGCTATAGGAGCTTAAAGTGGAACTTTAAGCAGAGACTTAAGTCCTGCTAGATCACTTCAGGCAGGAACCTTTTGCATGTATAGCTATGTAAAACATTAAAAATAAGTGCTATGCTGTTTAAAATCCAGTAATACACTGTCTCACCTTGTTCTGCACATGCTCAGTTGCACCATGCCAAAAAGCAGAGCCACTAGAGTTTGATCTGCTGACAGCCTAAAGATTTACTGCTGTTCAGGGGCTCTGGGCTACAGCAAAATGGCAGCCGCTGACAAGATGGAAAAGGAGCATTCATTGAAGCAACATACAGCACACACTAATTTTGGTAGCATAATTATGAATATGGAATGTATATTCCTTGCTAAAGAACATTATTTTTATCAAGTTGTTACGGGTTTCGCTTTAATCCACAGATTTTTTTTTCCCCCTTTGTGAAAAAAAACAATTAAATAATAAATTCACATCTATTTGCAGGTTAAAAAATGCGTATTTATTATTATTTTTGTGTGTGTTTTTACAAGGAGCCTGCAGAGCATTGCACGGTGTTCACCAGCATGTGGTAGTTTCAAGCAGACAGCCGAAAAGGCTGTTGGTACTTGTAGTTCTCTAATTCACAGAACTCTGTGAATAAATGATGCGGCCAGGGGGGCAGAGTCCTGCACAGCTGTGTTTTTTTTAAATTGTGACAGCGAGTGTAGGGAGAAGATACCCTGCTCACTGTCACAACGAGGGATTGGGAAGGGGGGGTAAAAAAGGGGGGGGGGGGTGTAGAAGCTGCAAGAGTAACATGTTACAGAAGGTGAACATAGACTCTTATCCTTTAACATTCTCACATCAAGAGGCATTTTACATGTGAACTAAAGGTGTTTTGCAATCACAAAGGGCTTAAAGGTTCATGCCTCTAAATAGCTATGAAGAAGCAAGTCAGACTGTTTCAGCTGTAATCATAGAGTGATTTTAGTAAAAGACTACAGGTTCACCCATGAAGTCAGTAAATAATAAAACAACTATAATATGCAATGGATTTGATCAAATTTAACTGCTGAGTAAAAAAGAGGTGCATAACAAAAAAACAAAACAAAAAAAATCCTAGATGTAAAACTATTTTCTCCACAGAGGGCAAAAGAATCCACAGATGTATATCTAGGTGTCTCTAAAACCTGCTGTATGAACAAGGCATGAGATGAGGAGTCTGCACAGATGTAAACATAACAGCAGCAGGTAAGTATCATGAGACCACTAACATGTTTTTATAGAAGAGTCACCATATCACCCCCTACTATGTATGTTTAACCCCATGTGTATGAAAGTTTTCAAACAAACTGCAAATGTTTTCAAATATGCAATGTACTTATGCAGAACAGCTTTCCATGTAGTCTATTAAAACTGCACATTTTTCAGATTTTTTTTCTGCACAGGAATACACCCCGGGGTGAACATGCTGCTGTCTGAGAGAATATACTTCTTCATAAAAACTTGTGCATACCAGATACCCTTGCCTGGCCCAAATGCATGTATTACTAATACCCCCAGACAGCACACAAACGCGTGCATCATACTCCATGCCTTAGAACTAAAGCTAGAGAGGAAGACTAGTTTTTTATTTGGTAAAATCCTGTAGTCTTCTAATGAATTCACAGAGCGATGTGTTGAGAGCATGTAAACAGACGCGTGTTATTCTGCGTGGTTTACCGCGCGCACTACATTGCATTTTAACATCACAAGCTTTATATGTGGCAGGCACTTGACTGTTTTGACTCGTGCTTTAAAGCACGCTTCAGTGTCCTTACATGCGTTGCACTGAAAAAGAAAATAGGGCATGTTTTACCTTTTTTTTTTCAGAAAAAAGCAGTGGACACTAGCACAACACACTGGGGTGAGCTGCTCCTATTTGAATACATTGCTTTTACAATCTATAAGTCGTGGCATGCATCGGTCAACACATGAATGGCATGGCCGCCTAAGTGAGGTGCCTCTACATCTCTCGCTCTAAAAATAGAAATGACCATAAGCCAAACTCCAGACAATAATGTTTTTGTTTTTAACAGGGCAGTGTTAGAACTTTGGTCAGGATTGTATTACCTTTAAGATTTTCAATCACATCCTTGTTTAAGCAAGTAGGGGGGCAGGAACGATTACTTTTTTTTTTTTTTTAAAGCAGGATGGAGAAGGATGGGAGCCTCTGCCAGGTCTTTATGAAAGTATCCTGTTCCCCTTGTATTGCTTTCTTTTTGTGAAATTCCTGCAGTTGCTGCCAGTCCCTCTGCTTTCCTATTAAAAACTGACCACACTGAGCATGAACAGCACGCTTAGTTCTTTAGCTGTGCTGTAAATGCAGCCTGCTCTCCTCCAATGATCAGACTTGTCCAGACAGACCGCACCCCCCCACCAGGCATTCACTGGGAAGATCACTGTACTGTCATTTCTCCTCTCTGAGCACCTTTGCAGCTGAGAACCGAGGCAATATATTCACTTATTTTTAAAAAAGGGGGGAAATACTATTTATAATGATTTTTTTTTACATCTATACACAAATGTATTGCATTTCAATTCTATTTTACACTGAATGGGATGTTTTACAAAGTGAGGGCTTACATAAACTTTAACCCCTCTGTTTTACTAAGGACAATGGTCACCAGGAAAGAGAAAGTGGAGAAATCAAAAATGTTTTCCCCAGAACAAGAGGAGAGTGTCAGTCTAATGGGGACAACCTAAGAGGGAGGTTTCTTCTAACATCCTGTTGTGTCTCTGGCAACGAAATAAATCTCCCCATGGCCTGCCAAAAAGTGACAGGGGGTTTAAACTTCTACTGCATCCAAAACCTAAATAAGTTTTGGAAATACATACACCTTGGGGTTCTATCGCATCAGCGAGCTGCCCTCAACAGATGGACACTGGTGTGCTCTAGCGGGACACAGTGCTGGAGTTTTGATCGCAGTCTCACCACATAACGGGTAGGGCCCTGCTCACACCGGTGCACCTTTGCCACACTAAATCCAGCCATACATGGCTTTAAATTAGACCGATTCAGCAGGGACCAGCTGAAATTTTGACCCATGTGTGGGTGAGGAGGTACAGAAGCTGAACTACTGATTGACTAATGTACAATCATCCCGACGGATTTTCTCCACTTGATCAGCACTGCAGGCCACAGCCCCCAATGCTGATTAGTGTATTCGGAGGGTGAAGAAGTCCCCCCCACTGTCAGAATACAATAGCTCAGTGGGGAGGATTCCCCCATCCACATCAAGTGGTTAAAAAAAAAAAAAGTAGGCTCAGCTCAAACTAGTGTAACGTCTGCACCATATGGCACTCAAGTCACATCAACTTTTTTTTAAAGACACTGCCACATTAGTCCCACAGATTGGAATGGGTGCCATTGATATGAATGGGTTTTGACTTGTCATATGACTATGTGTCACGAGCAGGGGCGAACTGACCATTTGGAAACTTGGGCACTGCCCGAGGTCAGTAGGGGGCCCCATGAGATGCCCCTGGTACCTTTTTCATAGGCTTTTTTGAGTTTGGGCAAGGACACAGGGGCCCCATGATCCCCTATTGCCCGGGGGCCCTATGAGTTGTCAGTCCGCCCCTGGTCACGAGTCGCACTAGTCTGAACCGAGCCTCATGTATAGTCTGCCTCAAACTCACCTTCCCGGTGCAGCAAAAGTGCATAAAAAAGTATTCCCTTTAAATCCTAACTGTTCACATTGAATGCTGCGTTTTAAGGCTCCATGCACACTGGGCGTTTCAATAACGCTGGTAACGTTAGCTGTGTAAAATCGCATTAAAAAAGTAAGGTTTTGCATCGTTTTGTATTAGTGTTTTGCCGCATTTATTTTACGAAAAAAAAATTTTTTTTCTTTAGTCAAAAAAATGTCCAAAAATGTTTTTTCAGCGTTGAAGCATTTTTACAGCTAAAAAAAACGCCTCTAGAAACCCACTAGTCCTGGGTTTTATTCCAGCCAAAAAAAATGCTGATGATTACTGTCTGTGTGTGCATGGACACATAGGATAACATGCTGGGGGGTTTACTGGCTGTAGAAAAAAACATCAAAAGCCAAAAACAGCCGCTGTAAAAACGTCCAGTGTGCATGAGGACTTATACAGCAAGCTGCATTTTGGAAAGTCCAGCTCGCTGCATCTTCAGTTTCTATGAAAAACGCATCTTACAATATAGCCAAAGAAAATGCACCATGCATCTAAGGCCAGCCATACATGGTCGAAATTCAACCGATTTTTTTTTTTACAAAAATCAGACCTAAGAAAAATTGGCCAATTTTTCGCTCTGTTAGTGGGTCAATGACACCGGCCGATTTTTGTGGTTCCTCCCCTTTTCAGTGATCGGGCATGTTGGAAAATTTGTGAAAAACAACTGATTTTCGATTTAATGATGGTCAAATTGTACAATCGTTTTTCCGAAAAGAATATGCGCAAGAGCCGTGACCTGGAGGAACAGAAGTTTTGCCTGTTATATGGGGTGAACTTTATAACTTTCAATTTCCGGATGAAAAAATTTTTGGAATTCGAACCATTTATGGCCTGCATTAGTCACATCGATGTTTTCCCAGGTGACCAGGGATGAAACACAAGCAAACCACCTAAAGTGCTGCATTAAAGGCAACAAAGCAAATCCATAAAGTGTTTCCACACAACGCATGTTCTGATTTCCAATGCAGCGGTGTGAAGAGGCCCTAAGCAAGGCAGGAATGGTTTCTGTACCCCGCTAGGTGAGATCTTTTCTCTTCCTGTGTGGTCACCAGAAACGGAAGTGAGTGGAATACAGGTGAGCATAAAAACCATGACAGAGGATGTAACCTCCCCCTCTAACCAATCCCAATGCATTGTCTGCGATTCGCCCAGGCTGGGATGTTTCCACTGCTTCTCATGCAGCTCCAACTTTCCTCCAATCTCCGGACCTTCCTCCATGAACACGTCTGTGTCCATGGACTGCCGGCTCTGCAGAATAGGAGTCCAGGGAGAATGGATGGCGCCGTCCGGTATACACGGCGCTGGAGATGAGACACAATACAAACACAACAACAACACAACAAGCCAGCGCAGGCCCGCCGCCACATACCTATATATACAGGACAAGACGCAGCACAGACAACACTCTCACCATCACCTACCCGCTCCTCCCGGCATCCATGTCCGACACTCACACGGGAATACCGACAAATCCTCTCCGTTCTAAGGACACACTTCTCCGCCGCCTCCGCCTGGCCTGAATACCTCACACCTCCCACTGCGCGCTCCCGCATGCCCGTGCACGGCCCCGCCACGCACCACACTAGGGACTGAGGCACGCATGCGGTTACGTCACGGAACCCTCTCCCAGTCTACCTCCAATGAGAAGAGGGTTAACCAGCACATTGCCGGCCTGTATGTTCTCACCTCAAAAGGTGCTAGGATTCCTTCCTCCATGGCAAGTTATCACAGTGAGGAGCAAGGGTCAGAATACACACCATGAGGAGCAGGGGACAGAATGCACGCCATGAGGAGCAGGGGACAGAATGCACGCCATGAGGAGCAGGGGACAGACTGCACGCCATGAGGAGCAGGGGACAGAATGCACGCCATGAGGAGCAGGGGACAGAATGCACGCCATGAGGAGCAGGGGACAGAATGCACGACATGAGGAGCAAGGGACAGACTACATGCCATGAGGAGCAGGGGACAGAATGCACGCCATGAGGAGCAAGGGACAGACTACATGCCATGAGGAGCAAGGGACAGAATACACGCCATGAGGAGCAAGGGACAGGCCACACGCCATGAGGAACAGGGGACAGAATACACACCATGAGGAGCAAAGGACAGAATACACACCATGAGGAGCAGGGGACAGAATGCACGACATGAGGAGCAAGGGACAGACTACATGCCATGAGGAGCAGGGGACAGAATGCACGCCATGAGGAGCAAGGGACAGACTACATGCCATGAGGAGCAGGGACAGAATACACGCCATGAGGAGCAAGGGACAGGCCACACGCCATGAGGAACAGGGACAGAATACACACCATGAGGAGCAGGGGACAGAATACACACCATGAGGAGCAGGGGACAGAATGCACGACATGAGGAGCAAGGGACAGAATACACGCCATGAGGAGCAAGGGACAGGCCACACACCATGAGGAACGGGACAGAATACACACCATGAGGAGCAAAGGACAGAATACACACCATGAGGAGCAAGGGACAGGCCGCACGCCATGAGGAGCAGGGGACAGAATACACACCATGAGGAGCAGGGGACAGACCGCATGCCATGTGGAGCAGGGGACAGACCGCACGTCATGAGGGACAGGGCTCATGCCATGAGGAACGGGACAGGCCACAAACTATGAGGAACGGGACAGACCACACACCATGAGGAGCAGGGGACAGACCACACACCATGAGGAGCAAGGAACAGACCGCACGCCATGAGGAGCAAGGGACAGACCGCACGCCATGAGGAGCAAGGGACAGACCGCACGTCATGAGGGACAGGGCTCTCCCCATGAGGAACAGGGGACAGGCCACACGCCAGGAGGAGCAGGGGACAGACTGCACGCCATAGTCAGCAGGGGACAGGCTACACGCCATAGTCAGCAGGGGACAGGCTACAGGCCATGAGGAGCAGGGGACAGGCCGCACGCCATGAGGAGCAGGGGACAGGCCGCACGCCATGAGGAGCAGGGGACAGGCCGCACGCCATGAGGAGCAGGGGACAGGCCGCACGCCATGAGGAGCAGGGGACAGGCCGCACGCCATGAGGAACGGGACAGGCGGCACGCCATGAGGAACAGTGGACAGGCCGCATGCCATGAGGAACGGAACAGACTACACGCCATGAGGAGCAGGGGACAGACTACACGCCATGAGGAACAGGGGCACAGACTACACACAATGAGGTGAAAAGGGGACAAACCACACACAATGAGGAACAGAGGACAAACCACACACAATGAGGAGCAAGGTACAGAATACACACAATGAGGAGCAGGAGACAAACTACACACAATGAGGAGCAGGGGAAAAACTACACATAATGAGTAGCAGGTCACAGAATGCACACAATGAGGAGCATGGTACACAATACACATGAGGAGCTGGGGACAGACTACACCCAATAAGCAGTGTATAGACTGAACACAATGAGGAACAAAGCACAGACTACACACATACCTCCCAAATGTTAAGCTAGACTAAGAAACATTTACTGAGGTGTGTAAACTGGTACTGTATTTAGATCCATAGCACAAAATCCAAAAATCTGCATCCGAGGCATCTGCATATGATCAGCAACATTTTTACAGCCATGTGAATATAGCCTAATGCACGTATAAAGATCTGGGGTCTCATAGACCCCACATTTCTTCATCAAGAGGATCTGTCACAACACATGCCATCACAAGGGGCTGTTTTTCATCCCTTTTGATAGCAATAAAAGTGATCAAATTGGAGTATACATTGAAAAAATAAAAAACAATCACTTGACCTCCGGAATATTTACCCCCCTTCTTGACCAGGCCATTTTTTAATATATGGTGCTGCACTATTTCAACTTGTAATTGCACGGTCATGCAACACTGTACCCAAACAAAATTTCTGTCCTTTTTTTCACACACATAGAGCTTTCTTTTGGTGGTATTTGATCACCTCCGGGTTTTTTGTTGCGCTGTAAACAAAAAAAGACTGAACATTTTGAAAAAAAAATTATATTTTCTCATTTATGTTATAAAAATACCCAATAAACTCAAATTTCGTCATAAATTTTAAGCCAAAATGTATTTCGCTACATGTCTCTGGTGAAAAAAATCCAAATACATGTATATAATATACTTATTAATACACAATGTATATTAATTGGTTTATGTGAAAGTTGTAGCATCTACAAACTACGGTACAGATAAAGGAATTTACACTGCTTTTACTTTCTGACTGCCTATCACATTTCTTGAGATGCTAAAGTGTCAGGGCGGCACAAACTTCTCAAAATTACCCCTTTTCGGAAAGTAGATGCCCTAAGCTATTTGCTGAGAGGCGAGTTGAGTCCTTGGAAGATTTATTTTTTTCCACAAGTATTTGGAAAATGACAAAAAAAATTTTTTATAAAAAGTTGTCATTTTAATGGTATATTGCTTACACATGTCATGGGTATATTTGGAATTAAATTCTGAAATATATTCAGCTACTTCTCTTCAATACCATATGTGAGTCTTTTTTGGGAGCCTAGCTGCATACAGGAGTCCAAAATCCAATGACCCCTTTGAAAGCCTGATAATGTGTAAATTCCATTTTTCACTTCCTAAATTTCTATCACAGTTTCAGAGGCTCTGAAATTCCAAGAGAGCACTATCCCCACCCCCAAATGACCCCTTTTTGGGAAGTAGACAACCCAGACTTTTTGCTGGAAGGCATGTTGAGTCAATGAAATACGACTACATAAATGTTGGCCATGAAATGTGATGAAGAAATCTCTGCCAAAAAAATGTTTTAAAAATATATGGCGAATCATTGGAGCTATCCACCCACTGACCACCCCAGGCCCCCATGTTTGGGCATATATGTTCTTTTTTTAACTGCATTTGAGAAATCTCATCCAGCA